GGACCGGGTTATACTGCGTCAAGAGCTGCTCCACCTCTGCCTTAATGCCATCGTCGTGGATGTGACCTGCAATATCAACCTCACTCACACAACAATTCACTCTCGTCAACCATTCCTCACCTTCAGGTAACAACATGACAGAACCCTCGCGCATAACCATGACAATATTTTTTAGAAATTCCTGACCTAAAATCACTTTATAGGGTATACAGTCTTTAAGTACGATGTGAAAAATAACCCCGTCATAACATCTTCCGTCGATCGAAACACTTTCGTAAAAATTTCCACACGATTTTATTTTTGACAGTCCGAATCCCGCTAAAATCGTGTTATCGACGCACTTGTCCACGTTCAGTTCATTATACACGTCACTTGCCATCAGATTAATTTGACTGCCCGTATCGATTAACGCGTCCATGTCCATTCCGCACTACTTAATTAATTTAACCGGCGTATTTTGTTGCTTTTCGTGTTTGTTTTCATCTTGCCAGTCGTCGTTCTCGTTCGCCATATTGCAGCTATCATGGCTGCCCGCAGTGTCCGCTCTTCTATTGGCCGAAAGTCCGAACATGGCTGATTGTCGTTGTGCTTCCGCCGTACTCTGCTTTACCGACATTTGCTGTCTCCCTTTCTCCACCGGGCCGCTTACGCGATACTCGCGAAACTGCTTACCCGACGATTCGCTCATGTTTGCAACGCCGCTGCTCTGCTCGTTCGGGCACTGTGTACCAATATGGCCGAACTTATTACACCGGAAGCATTTCGTTCCATTCGTACACGCTGTTGAAATATGACTTGGATCACCGCACTTATAACATCTTTTTTTATTATTAGGTTGCTGCCCATTTACTGAACCCGACGATGAAGTCGATGTATATGATATGTATGACTTTCTTTGTTTTTCAGGAACGATCTTCGTCTTCATTTTTTTCATAACAAACGAGTTTTTCTTTTAACACTGAATATGATGTAATTCTATACAACATCATCTTGTTTACTTCTTGATCTATGATGCCGTCCACGATGTACTGGATCGAGACGTAGTCTGGGAATTTAGCTCTTTTGCCCAGTTCCTTCATAATCAACATATACTGATAACAAGTTTCGTCCCGCTGTTTCTTGCGTGACGTCATTGAATCGTGCATCTCTTTTGCGTTAAGTGAGTCAGGGAATTCTTTCTGCAGTGCTGTTTTGAGCTCTTCGAACGTCTTAAAAACTTTTTCTGATCGTAGCCACAGTTCAGCCGTGCCTATCAAGGATCTTCTCGCTACTATTAATGATTGCTGATTTGTCCAGCTAAAAACCTCCTTATTGTCTTCGATGTCCTGAGCCCACTTTGTTGACGAATAAGTCTTGTCATCACCGCTAAACTTCGCGATGCTGTCCACCATGCTTGAAAAGCCTTCCGCCGCCATTTTTACGTCCTGTGAATCTTTTACAGCCTTTTCTAGCAGCGCGTCTTGATCTGTAGTCTTCTTAACTTCGTTAACGTCGTTATTTTCTCCCATCAGAGAACCACCTTCTTATATTAATGTGCTGCACCGTCGCCGCCTTGCGCCAGTACCGCTGCGCGCCGTGACCACTTACCGTCGTAACTTGAAACTCGATTATTTTGAGGCTATCCCACTTCTGACACCAAAATTATGTGAGATTTTGGTAGACCTCTTAATAAAAGTCGAGAATAATGAATAGTTTGTTTTATTTTCACTGTTTTACACCTTTTTAATTAACTAATGCACTTAAGTCATGCACGCTTCCGTTCCTCGTTCCCAAAAACAAAAACCTTCTCCCCCCTCCCTCTCGCACCTCACGTCCTCCTTCTCATACACTTACGTTCCGTTTCACTCCATTCCCTTACGTTCTATTCTACATATATATATATATATATATATATATGAGATTTGACTTTTGATAGATTTTAATTAATTTATTTCCTTCAAAATTTTTGTCTTTAGTTTTTGTAAAATATCAGTGCATATAGTCTTCTATTCCGATCACATGTTACGCCCTATTTTTTCTAGACTTTAAAAAAAGATCATCCAGTACATAAATATATAAATTATCTGCACTCTGTGTTTTATTCCATTGAATTTCATAAAGAGCAATATTGAAAGATATGCGCTTAGATACTCGTACAGATATCGTAGCGTATCTGCGTAGTGTAAGACTCGTTTTAGGCGTACAACAATTCTATCGTAAGAAATAAATTTCTTTAGTTTAAGATTCCGCTCTGAACCTTTATAAATGTATTATTTAATTCAATTTCGTTTATTTATGTTCATGAAAAATCAAAGCTAAATTTATTGCGGACAGATTAGACGCACGAGAGAGCATAACGTCTCAGTGGTACGATCCTTCCACCCTGGGTAATCGAGCAACTTTTCGGACGAATACGACCCCCGCTGTTCTGGTTTTGAACAAACTGAGGTAAAAATTAACGATTTTCGTAATTTTTGCTCTTTATTTAATACTAAAATCTTTTTCTTAATTTACAGAAATACTTTTGATTGATCAGTTAAATGCCTAAAATATAATGGATTGGTTTTAAAACGCTCTAGTGTTGACCAACATTTTGATTTTATTATGTATACAGTAAACATTATAATTATACGTAGGACACTCAATAAGTTTTGAGATATACAAAAAGTATTCTAGATACTATTAATATTTATTTTACATCTTGTCAAAATATTCTCCATCATGCTCTATACAAAGTTCCATTAGCCTAAACCAACTCCGAAAATACTTTTGCCAGTCTTGATGAGACAGTTCGGAAATCGCTTCTTCGTCGGCAGCCACGGATTCTTCGGCACTTGAAAAAAAACTTGCGTTTTATTTATTTTTTTGACTCTTAGGAACAAAAAAGCTAAGCTAAAAGCTAAGTCAGGGCTGTAGTTTTTTTTTTTTTTTTTTTTAATTATTTAGGATAGGGTGACAATCGAGCACACAGTCCACCTGATGGTAAGTGGCTGCTGTGGCCCATAGACATCTACATCTATCCTCGATTACGAATCAAAATGCAGATATGTTGTCACCCGTGAGGGCTAAGATGGAATGCCTCGCTTCCAGTAAAATGGGTCGCCGGTTCTCTACACTCACCATACGAAATACAGCAGCATTAAGCTACTATTTCACGCTGGTATTCTGTGAGAGCGTGGTCCTTCCCCGGTCGAGCCGACCCATTCGTGCTACAACTATACATCTAATATAACTGCAGCATGGCTCTACCACGTATAAAAATGTAGTGTAGAGTTTCAACACCAGATTCCTTAATAAATGCTTTTGTTCTAAGGGAGACATGTGAAGAGGCGTTATCGTAATGCAGCATGATTTCCCAAAGCCTGGTCTTTGGTTTTCTCTCCCGCACAGCTTGAAAAGCTTTGGATCATGCAACTGTAGTATACCATTCAGAGTTGACTGACCTAAAATTTTCCAGCATTGACGTAGACAATATGTTCGCTCCGCGAAAAAAAACTGGCCACCATTTTTTTGCCGGCGTTGCGAGGTCGTCTTTGCAGTTTTGTTCCATACCGATGATGCCTTTTATTTTCCGAATCATATTGATCCATATCTCGTCACCAGTAACGATTCCTTAAGCACGCCTAGATGCCCCGTTTTCAAAACGTAGACGCATTTCATGGCACTAATCCACACGAGTCTGTATTTCGCTTTCGAAGATTAAACGAGGGATCCATCGACAACAAAGCTTCTTTACTCCAAGATTTTGATGTAGGATGGTATGAATGCTCCCCGAACTAATGCCTACTATCTTTTCAATGTCTGTATATGTGAGTCGTGGATCTTCCCGCATCGACATTTCAGTAGTCCATACATTTTCTGCCATTAATGCTGTTTGTGGGGCCCCGGTTTTTTTGGTTATCTTTAAGGTTAATTTTACCCCTTTTGAATTCAATAAATCACCTAAAAATTGTTGTGAGTGATGGAGCTGAGTCTCCTACCGTAATTGTTCGGTTAAACCAAATTTTAAATCATAATAGATCATAGCGCGCAAATGTTCACGTATAAGATCCATCGTTTTAAATGAAAAGCGCGGGAAGCGTTGCAGGAAAATTAATAGAACTTTGTTTTTTTTTTAAATATTGAGAAATTAAAGTTATTGTGGAGTTCTATTTTAAATAAATTTGCTTTTTAGAAATTTTTATTTAGTTTTTAATGTTTGTAATAATGAGTTTTTAAAGTTTTATTCAGTTCCATTTTTAAATTTCGAGCATCTCAAAACTTATTGAGTACGTAGATCACGTATTGTTCACGTAACATTTTAAAGTGATTTAATGTAATTTCCGACAGAAATTATTTGTTACTTTTTAAGTTATAGTTATAGCATGTGGTTAAATAAGTGTGCTATATTAAAGTGACACCTCTTGAGTGTTTTAACACGGCGTAAATTTTCTTGTTTTAAGACGTACTTAGGCTGGTACTAACTTTTGTGTAGTAAGCATTTATCAGAAGGTCCAGTGTGGCGGACCAAGCGTTATAGAACTCGAGTGGTCGCGACCAGGACGAAAGTCCCGTTACCTTGCACGCTCGATAAGAGCAGGCACTCAAACCTAAGTTTTTTAAAGAATAATAGTGACGCTACTAACATTTTATTACATATTATTTAAATATATATTTAATATGTATTACAGGCAAGATTGATAAGGCTTTTGTGCGTGTTTTACCAAGTCCACTGCTGAACATCAAAGAATGGCATATGAATGTACATAGTATAAAATATGTTCACATAATATAAACATAAATTCTCGATAGAAATAAATCAAGAATTTTTCTTAATATAATAAAGATTAAAAATAATACTCCTTGTAAATCATTTTTAAGTGTAATGTTCCACTGGTTATAAAATATATGTTCTGGGAAGAACCAGCCAAAACCATACCCGGGGCTGTTTTATTCAAAAATGAACAATTCAAAATTATGTATTACGTTGTACAATTAATAAAAAAAATTTGAAAAGGTTTTATCATCATCGTTTTTAACAGGCCAGAAGACAGCGGCCAGTACAGATGTCGGGTAGACTTCATAAAATCTCCGACTAAGAATACAAGACTCAACCTCACAGTGCTTAGTAGGTACTTTTTGTGTCTTAATATTTCATAAATTTACCATTACCATATTATAATCTATTATTAGTTTCGTATATTTTAATATATGGTGCACGAATTATTATAATCTTAATAAATATTATTTTAGTAGTAAGTCTGTCCTCTAAATTTTTAAAGCTTTTGTCTCAAAACGCTTTATTAATTTAATGGTGAGATTTTTAACCATTATTATATTTAACAAAGAGTTGTAACTTGCCAGCATTTGTCCTTTCATCCGATTGCAATATAGTAGTCTTCAAGGCAACGTGAATAGTCTTTTGAGCTAAGTAAGTGCGCTTTACCGTCTTCGGCTTCATCGCCACTTACCATCGAATGGGACAGTAGTCAAGTACTGGTTTATAATAGGTAAAAAGAAACCTTTCCACCTTTGACTCATTATGAGATTATATTTTTAAATTTTATGTTACACTTTTGCTTTTAGTACAATTTTTTAAACAATGATTCCGAGTTAAAAAAAAAACGAATGAAATTTGAGTTTTTTAAAATATCTGTTATATTTTAGATGTCGTTACTTGGTTTTATTATAGGTTTGTACCCAAAATAAAATCAAAATAAAAAAGGACCGTGTGGTTCCCGCTAAGTGCTTTATCAGAATCAGTATTGAAATCTATAGAAATTACTTAACTTTCAGAAAACTCGACCAATATAAATATAAATTAAAATTAAAAAAAAATCATTTGCAAATTGTATGTGGTTTTATTACCTGAAACGGCGTCTTTGGCAATACTTTTATTCCCCACGCAATGCCAGAGGTAATAAAACCGCCTACGTTTTGCAAATGAATATTTCTTTAATTTTAATTTACAATGTTAAATTAAATTAAATTTATAATGTTCATACAATGTTTCAAAAGCGAAAAAGTGACATCTAATATAAATATGGGGCTATTCTAAATCTCCTAATAAAATCCGTGCATTGAATATAATATTAGAATCAATAAATTTAGAGATAGAATTCTTCTGTAAAGAGGTTGGAAGGCCCCGGAGTGGTACGACAGCCTTAAGAATGAACAAAGTGCTTTCGAGAACCAATGACGTCCTCTCAGAAAAATCGGACGTCATGCAGCGATGGAGTGAATTTTATAGAGAAATGTATGCGTGTCATGATCTTAGTGAAGGATCCGGGGGTGACGCCGTGACTGGCACGCCAGACACGGACCTCGATGACACTGAGGTCATCAGCATGAAAGAGATTGAACGTGCGATTCGAAGTTTGAAATGTGGTAAGGCTGCGGGACTAGACAGAGTTACTGCTGAAATGGTCAAGTACAGTGGGCCTCGCGTCTGGGACAGCTTCCATCTGCTGTGCAATTTGTGCTGGCGGACGGGAGATGTCCCGGATGATTGGCGATCCGCGGTCATTGTGCCTTTATATAAAGGTAAAGGTTTACATTTTTTCTGCGGGTGCTATCGGGCGATCAGCTTGACCAGTTTAGCAAGTAAAGTTTACTCGAAGGTTTTGACACGTAGAATGCAAGAGAAATCGGAAAGATTCTTATGGGAGGCACAATGCGGATTTAGACCTAGAAGAGGATGCACGGATCAAATGTTTTCTCTCCGCATGATCACGGAGAAGCTTCTGAGTGTTAACCAGAGGATTTTCTGTGCTATTGTGGATCTGGATAAAGCATTTGATAAGGTTATAAGGAAGAAAATGTGGGAACTGTTGCCGGGATATGGTGTGGATGGTCGATTGTTAAGGGCTGTGCAGTCACTTTACTATGACTGTAAAGCCTATGTGCGGGTAGGGCATGACCTGTCACCCATGTTTAGCGTCCAAGCGGGCGTAAAACAGGGTTGTGTCATGTCTACCTGGCTGTTCATACTGTATCTCGACAGCTGTTTACAGAAGCCGAAAAATAGCTGTTTGGGTGTGAAATTGGGTGACATAAAAGTTAATTGTCTGCTGTATGCTGATGATGCCGTGCTTATTGCACCATCAGAACTGCAGGCATTAGTCACGTGTATGAAAGAGGAATGTGAAATTAAAGGTCTCCGTTTGAATGCTAATAAAACTAAGGTTCTGGTATTTGAAAAGGACGAAGAGAGAACGAAATGTGAAATATGGGTAAATCAGGAATGTCTAGAACAGGTAAATGAAATTGTATACTTGGGGAGTGCTTTCAGCCGGGATGGAAGATGTGAATTAGATGTGGATAGGCGTGTCGCTGCCGGAAACAAAGTCAATAGTGCCCTGAATGCATTAGTAAAAAGGCAAGGCGTGGTGAAGAGTGCACGCCTTGCAATACATAACGCAGTGTTGGTACCGACTTTGTTATATGGCAGCGAAACCTGAGTATGCCATAAGAAGCATAAAAGCAAGTTGAATGCAGTGGAGATGCGATCTCTTCGTAAAATGTGTGGCGTTACCATAGCCGATCGAAAGCGAAACGAAGAGATTCGCAATATGGCAGGATTGAAAGATGACCTTATCACAAAAATTGATAGGGGCGTAGTCCAATGGTTTGGGCACGTTGAACGAATGAGTAAAGACCGAATGGTGAAGAAAATATATAGAGCGAAAGTAAATATTAAAAGGTGTCGAGGTAGACCGAGACTAACTTTCGAAGACCATGTGAGCAAATTGCTCGAAGAGGGAGGGAGGATACCTAGACGTGCATGTATGAAGAAGTTAATGAACCTGAAAGAAGCGAAAGAGGTATGTAAGGATCGTGACACTTGGCGATCTGTTCTCTATGGCTACCCCGTTAGGGATTGTGCGTGAAGAAGTAAATTTAGAGATCGTCTAACTTAAATTAATTAAAAGATAAAAGAAGAGACAAAACATGGAATATTCTTACTTTAACAAACTGCCGTAACGGCACGGCAGTGAAAGGCTTCGCATGGCAGATAAATAATAAAAATGCTAAAATCTACTGAACCAGAATAAATGGGGTGAGCAGGGTTAGATTTTATGAACTTTATAATAATACAAAATAAGCGTGTATATTTTTAAATTAGAAATTAAAATATATATATTATCATTCTTTATTTCAGATTTTTTTTTTCCTTAGAGTGGGTTAGTAATTACAAAAATAACTTATAAGCTAGGGTTAGTAAAAAATAAAAGGTTACATACTATATTACTATACACTGCCTACTTTATATTTACCAGAGCAGGTCTCGAGCCGATATGGACGCTGTTCCAGTGCCTCAAGATAGGACAGCAATAGCGACTCCCTATCGCTGCCAGGAGGCTGTTGGAGCTATCCCGGACACGGCGCCATGCGGAGGCAACCCGTTTGCGCATGATAGCTGGGAAACTGTCTATGCGAGCCTTAGCAAACATTGCCGACGCGCTGCAGTACCGAGGCAGCCCCATCAGCATCCTGAAGCCGTTATTATATTGGACGCGCAGAGTTGTGAGCGGCCTCCGTGTGTACTCAATCCATAGACTGCAGGTGTAAAAGGACAATAGGCTCTGAATAGAGTTTTTTTGACTTCTATATTACACCCTGCAAATCTACGGGCGAGCATATTCGCTCTCATAGCTAGAGCTCTGCGTTCCCTCTCTATGTCAATATCATCTGACATATTTTCAGTAACCCAGTGTCCCAGGTATTTGAAACTTGTCACTCTTTTCAGTGGTATACCTTCAAGAGCGACAGTGGGAAAATTGTAGCTCTTATATTTTGATTTAGAAAATACGATCTCACTTTTCTTGACATTATGTCGTAGGCCATGAGCCGTTGCATACTTCTCACATATACTGAGTAGTTTTCTTAGACCACTAATTGATGGGCTCAGCAGCACCATATCGTCGGCGTAACTTAAGTTGTTATATGCAATATTATCAATAGAGCAGCCGACTCCACTACCACCGAGTTCGCCAATCAGACTATTCACGTAGAGGTTAAAAAGTGCAGGAGAAGATAGACCGCCCTGTCTTACTCCGCACTGCAGCCCATACGCCTCAGATTGCACGCCTGCCCACCTCACCTGATTCTGTTGATTGTCGTACCAATACTGAAACAGACCTATTAAGTCATTAGGAAAGTCATTAGTTTCAGTAGCCAGCTTCTTCCAAAGTATATCGTATTTAACCGTATCAAAGGCCTTTGATAGGTCCAAAAAACAGCCTATAAAAGGTGTTCTACGATTTGTGTAGTAACGTACGGTGTGCTTGAGACAAAGTACAGCACTTTCTGTGGATAACTGCGGTCTAAAACCAAATTGTGCATCACACAGATTAATGGATGCCTGTAACTTCCTTTCAAGCAGACCGTCCATCACTTTCGCTATAGTAGTAGCCAGGGAGATAGGTCTATAATTGTTTTTGTCCGACGAATCTCCCGTTTTATTTTTCAGTACTGGCACAACAATCGTTTTCATAAGATCAGAAGGTAAGTACGAGTGTCCTATGCAAAAAGTAAATAACATGGCCAGGACACGTGGAAGGTGGACACCAGCATATTGCAGGTGTTCGATACTGATACTGTCATGACCTGGAGATTTACCGCGTGTCATTTTTTTAATTACGTCTTTAACATGTTTAGCCGTAAAGCACGTGGTTTCATCTCCACCCCGGATACCTGTATCGAAATTCTGCGATGATTTTTGATCGGTACACTTAAAGTGATTCTTAAAAATATTTGCCACCTTGCTCGCATCACTTTCATCATCTATACTCGCAGGGACTCTCAGCCTTGGATTCGTTTTGTTGGTTTGTTTCCAAAATTTAGAAAAGTTTTTGGTTTTAATATGTGTAGCATGTGCATTTTTATTTTTTGTTCGTTATTCTGACACCATTTTATTTTTGATTTAAACTGTTTTCTACTTTCTTTCATTTTTTCTTAATAAATTCCAATTTTAGGTTTTCCATATGATACCCACATATGAAAGCAAATTCGCGCCTCACTGTGAAATGGTGTAACATATTTATACCAACCCAAAACATATTTATTTCTACATTTCCTATACTCCTGAGTCGCTATTGCTGCCCCTCTCAAAGTATATATAATGCTGTCATACATTTTATCTATTATTAATTTATGTTCCAAAATAGAACAGTGGTGATTAGCACAAGACCTAATTTCTTCAGGAAAATCCATATATCTAAGCTTTTAACAACAAATTCAAGATATTTTTTTATTTGACTTTGATTTCTTACATCCCATACAGCTTTATTAGATTTAAGATTACATTCTTGTACTTTATAACTTATTTTTCCCATATCAATAGTTATTTCAAGTGGAAAATGGTCAGATTAAAAAACATCATAAAGTACCCTAATATTTACAACAGATTTCATGGCTGACTTAGTTGTAATGCAATGATCCAGCCAGCGATGAGAACCATTTATATCACTTTACGTAAACGTATCATATTTTTTTAAATAGTAATAGTCCACTACATCCCATATTTGTTCAAAACAAAAATTACTCATTTCATTAAAAAAACAATTCGCCAGGATGCGCATTAAAATATTCTAATATAAATACAGAATCTATATTAGTACATTCTATTATAGTATTTATTTCACTGAGACAGCTTGTAAATTCCTTAAATTGTCCCACGAGTCGCAGGGCATATATACGTTGATGAATAACGTAGTCCTGTCGTCCACAACAATTTTAATCGCGGCCAAATGCAATAAGTTACACTGCACAATAGACATTGATGTAAACAAAGATTTACGCCACATAATAGCAACACCACCGTACGGTCGACCTCTTAACAATCCATCACCGGTGTTAACCGCAGACTTACTGCAACAGACAAATTCTGGATGGATTCCCGCGATGTAGTCTGCATCATACGGTAATAGCCATGTCTCCTGAAATTCTATGATATCCGCAGATTTACATAGCTCTCGTATGACCTCGACTGATTTTGTGACTGATTGACAATTGAAGGATATAATTTTCAAATATTTACTATCCATTATTTAGGTGATACAAAATAATTACTTTGGTTTTTAACTGTTGTACAGTTTCTGAAGTTAATATATTTGCGAAATGATATTCCCTCAGGCCATATACTACTATCAAGAAATGTATCAATTTTGTATCTTGGCACATAAACCTTAAAAGCATTATATTCACGCTCATACTTTATTTTAATCTCTTCTAAAAATACTTTAACTTTTGTTCTCTTAAATATATAGTTTATTATATCATCCGCTGATATTTCTTTGTCAACATTATTGATAAATAATGGGATCTATATGTCGGCTGCTTTAAAATTATCTGTAGTATCTGTACTTGCTTTTCCTTTCATCCCTATAAACCTATTCTTCAATCTTCTTCTTTGCACAAGTGTCCATTCTTCGTCTGGTTTCAATATCTTCCGTTCACTTTCTTTAACCTTATCAACATAAGAGCACTTGTTTACATTTGTAGATGTGAAAGTAATCGGGTCCCTAGCGGGCTCATTAACATGCGTCACTAGGTCCGAAACCGCAGTGCGAAGGCTGCTATCTGCTGTGCCGGCATTGCTGCTGGCGGGCAGCAGGTGACGCGCAATAGTAGGAGTGTGCGAAACCGCAGTATTAGCCTCCACGTATCCGCCTTGCTCTTGAGGTGGAGTAAGTGAGCTTTGTTGTTGAGGTACCTGACTTAGCTGACTGTTAATGTCGCACAAATCTATCTCGACGCTATTTTTGGGGGATAATGTAATGTGTGGTAAGGTAACACTATCACAGTGTGAATCTAATATATAGGCATCCCGTTTCATGTTAATATTGGTGTATTCAAAATTATTAACAATAGATGTATTTTTCATATCTGCAACCTCTCGTTTCAGTTCATTATACTGCTTTATATCAATGTAGTTTTCTTTAATTTTTAACAAATCACTTTCTAAAATTAATAGCTTCTTTAGTAAGTTTGTCACGTCGATATGATCGAAGAAAATCGGTGGTAACTTATGAAGTTCACGAGCCACAAAAACTGGAACCTTTTCTGGATCCACATGCTTAATAAAACCGATGATGTCATCTATGTCACGCTTTGATTTGCCAGCTCCTTTTCTTGTCGTATTTTTCTGGGTCTTACTTGCACCGGAGTCGAACAATAACTTTTTCGCATATAATAATTCATCCTCAGAGAACGAGCTTCGGCATATAGCAGATAAGCTCTCCTCGTCCATAACATCCACTTTGTTTTGAATAAAAGCTAAAACTTCATTAATAACGATGTTACAGTTCGAGCACTTCACAGTTTTACTTGTCATTATTAAAACAAACACATTTATAACGCAAAAAATATTTTACAAAATCTGCATATTTAAAATGTTAGTAAATCGACTAAATTAACCCACAATTATATCTTTATATTAATTTGATAAAATATTTATATAAAATTATAAATTAATTATGGTTAAATATTTTAGTTCCACCAGATTGACTGATTATTATAAGTGAAGGCAATGACAAAGTGCACGGGAATATACTTGGACCTTACGACAAAGGAGCAGAGGTGAATTTAACCTGCATAGCTGTGGGAGGTGAGATTGATTGAATATTTTTTACTTTGCTTCTAATATTTTTAGTGCCTATGCGTTAATTCGTTATTTCTTTCAATCTGCTATTTTAAGTTGGTACTCTTTGAGAGCGTGGTCCTTCCCCGGTCGAGCCGATCAGTTAGTGCTAACATTATAGAGCTGCAACATGGCTTTATCACGTTTCATTGTAAAAGTAAGGTTTTTTTCTAAATATATTTAAATATCTGACAGTAAATTTATTCATGTAAATAAAAAGTATAATTTTCTAATATTAATTGATTATTCTTTTAAAGACATTTGTAAAATTTATTATAATAAAAGGGAAATAAAATTATAGGTAAATAACATAAATACATAACATTTAACGACTGTCGACCAGAGGGGGCAGGCAGCGACGTATCTATTTGCCACGATCCTGACGCACTTTTCTCGCTTGTTTTACATCCACATATACTTCTAGCATAAATGCTCGTCTGTTTAGCGTTCTCTTAATTTATTTCCTCTTTAATATACTGCTAATTTGGTCAATAAACTTCCGTTTAATGTGTTAGAGTGTCCATAATTGTTTATCGAAAGTTAAATCACCCACTTTGACACAACCTGTCCATCTATACTATATTCAGCAACTTCATTGATAATTAAATCAACATAATCAGTTACCTAACTTCTGATTCTAGTATTGCGATATTAGTGACACGCTCACTGCTCTCCTATTAATAACGTTACTTGGATATTTCCCACGATATATATTTCTCACATATATACAAATGTAAATTGTTTCAATAAGAAGCGTTGCTTTATAACCACAAATATATCATATTTAAGTTGAACATTACATATTCTAAAGGGATTGTTCACAAACGCTTTGGATATTTGAGTTCATGTTGAATGGATAATAGGATTTATTGCAGCCTTGTCTATTGTATCCTTGTATTGTATGTTATATATTGTGATCAGAGTAATTTACACTTTATGTGATGAAGACAAATGATAGCTTTGCTATCTGTCGCTAAGATTATTATATTTTAGTCGTTATTACTGTTGTACATTTCGGTCTCATTCTCTTTCCCTTTGCAGTAAAATTTTGTTCCGATGATATATTTTTACTTATACAGATCTGTCTGGCTAAGGTTTTAAGTTTTCAAGTGAAATAGGAAATTTGAGATAATCCAAATATTCCGACACACAAATCGTTCATGCCCTCGTATTTTCTTTAGTGAAAATTTTATTTCATAAAAGACTTCTTATTTTAAATGTAACTCAGAGTCTGGCTGCTTCGACTTGTAAAACTAACTCTGAGCTTGATTTCTTGCGGAAGAATCGAATATTTATTGATATTATATTTGTGATGTGATGATCCTTTATTTTTTTTTGGTGTATTATATATTCAAAGTATAGAGCGAGCTATGGAGAAGGCTGTGCTTGGAGTTTATTTGCATGATATACTCTTTTTTTCAGTTTTTGATGAACATGAATTATAGCGTAGAGTTCATTACGACCAAGGTTGTTTCATTACGGCCCATTTTGAAAATGTACCTAACATACAATAGCTTACTACTGGTGGGTAAAAAGATCACCTCATTCTATTGTGCGCACGTTGAAGGATATTCGTTAGTCATAATTTAAATTCATTTACGTGTTATGTAACTGAATATTTGAAACTTGTGATATCACTAGAGGTTGGTCATTAATGGTTTTCATGTCAATGTAATATATTAGTTTTAGTAGTATTAGTTTTTATTCGATAAATAAAACGTTGGAAGATTTGCTTTTTCAACAGGTATTAAAGCATTTTGTTTTATCGTTTTCTCCAATATTAGTAACATATATCAAACGTTTCCGTTTTGCTTACCTCGATAGGAAATAATAATATCCTCTCAAAATCAATATCGGTCGCCGTTTGGATATTTTAAATGTTTCTTTATTATTCATTATTTTATTTTTTGTTTCTTTATTAGGTATTCTTAATGTAGAGCCATACTGCAGCTATATTAGGTTCTAGCACGAATGGGTCGGCTCGATCGGAGAAGGACCACGCTCTTACAGAATACCAGCGTAAAATAGCAGCTCTATGCCACTGTGTTTCGTATGGTGAGTGTAGAGAACCGGTGATCCTTTTTACAGGAAACGTGGCATTACATCTTAGTCCTCAGGGGCGGCAACGCATCTGAATTTTATATAAAGATGTCTATGGGCCACAGCATTCACTTAACATCAGGTGAACTGTGTGCTCGTTTATCACCCTTATTCTATAAAAAAGTATTTCGAAGTTATTTATTGTTTCGTCATGTCCGTCCGTTCATTCAAGGTTTTACTCAAAGATCCTAGGTATTACAAAGCTGTAATTTGGTTTGGTATAGTCCTAGATATAAACCACGCCTACAAAGTTGTAAAATAAAATCTTGGAAAACATTTTTATTTTGGATACTTCCCATACATGTGATTTTTTTACCCGTATATTCTATCATGTGGAGTGACGTTTTATAGGTCTTTCAACTGGAGGTATGGAATAAAATATTTTTGATTCAGTCCGTTTGGGAAATATTTAGTTATAAAATGGAATTTTTATTAGAGTCATGTGTCCCAACCCCCTATTAACTAAACCGTTGTTTTCGGAAATGTGAAAAGTATACACAATAGTAGATGTATTACTTTAGTGTATACTTCAAAAAGTGAAAAAATGTTCTCGAGTGGCAGCCTCGTACCGGTAGGCGTAGTGTAAGGCGACCCCCACGAAATGGAATCACGACCTGGTAAGACATACAGGAAGTCGATGGATACAGGTGGCTCAGGGCCCTGCTTTTGTGACATACCTTGGGGTATGCCTATATTCAGCAGTGGACTTGTGAAGGGCTGTAATGATGATGATGATGATACTTCAAATAAGGGGGTTAAAAGGAAAAAAATCACAGCTAAGTTGACTTAACAAGTTAACTAGTAATGGTCGACGAACTTATAAAATGCACTAGAATTAAGTAAACATTTTGTTACAATTCCATAGAAAATGTACTAAAATTTGCTGCATTATAAGTTTGTCATTATGTTGTAAAAACTTTTGCAATACTACTATAGTTTTACATTTTCATTTGCTGGGGTAGGCAGAGAGCATCGATCACCAAGAGCCCGATCCTGACATACCACATTACATTATTTTTAGTTTGTTGTTATTATGGGACTACGGTTTTGTTTGGTACTCTTAATTTACGCGGGCGACCCTCAGGATAGTTTGGGTCAAAGGTGGTTTAGGGGAAGGTTTTTCATAGGTCACGTACTATGACGGGCAATTACGGAACCCTACATTATCTTGTTCCGACACGCACTTCGCCGGTTTATTATCTTATATCATCAAGTACATTTTATTATGTTTAACATAATAATAACAATTGGACCTCCACATTACTAGAGTAACTAGCATAGCTCAATAGATCAGAAGGCTGAAGTGGTAGTGAGCCGACCACAAAGTTCGAAGAACTGAGAATCTATCAATAAGAAAGATTCTTGAGTGGCAGACCCGTACCGATTCTAACTAGATGACCTGGTGAAATATACAGAGAATCTTTTATATTACTCTCTAAACTATTCTGTAGAGAAGGCATACCTTTAATAGTGGATTTTATAATTAATTTTAATTATAAAGAGAACAAATCGCTAAAATATGTTCTATTATCGACTTTTCTTACAGTGTATGAGTATAGTGATATTAATAAAAAGGTCGTCCGATAGCAAGGGTGTCATGGTGGAAGTCACATGCTTTACTAGCCAACTCAGAAGCATTAGCTACAGTCTCATTTAAACTTCACAGGCCTGACTTCAGTACCGACATCACATGTCAGGTAAAATAATGAATCCATCTAAATAATCTACCAATAATTATAACTGCCATGTAGAATTAGAATGGGAGAAACTTGTGTGTCTTGAGAGGTGACGAAGGGGTATGCTATAATAATTTTATAAGGTTTTATTTTTCCTGTTTATTGTTTTTTATTTACAGTTTTTATAAAATCTTCATTAGGATATTAAATTTTAAAATTGCACCTGAATATTTTAACTCAAAATGAACACTTTATTGATGAGTTTGTATGTACTCGTAATTTAATGTGTATCCGCCTTTATTCAATTCGATATAATTTTTAAATCTAAATTCTACGTTTTGCAATATTGTAATTGTATAGAAAATAAATAACTAAAAAGTTTTTTATTTTGCAGGCAGTTACGGATCCATCAATACCACCGTTATCTAACAGACTTTCGATTGATATGAATTGTAAGTCGCGTAATTTGCGTTAGCAGTTATACAAGATATTACATCCTTCAGGCTTCGTAAGCTTGACTTAAAAATATCAGAGATGCTCTGAAAGATGTTATGCTCCTGGAAATATGTAAGAGATGAAATAATTGCAGTGTTTTACTACAATATATGAAAATACTCTTGGTAATAATTAATCGCATTTCTAAATTTTGATATGATTTTTTGGAAACTTCTTCAATACAATTTTTCAATTCTCACATTGAAACTGTGAATGTGTATCGTTGTCTCTAAAAACGGAAATTAAAAAAAAATGCTTTAAAAACAGAAACAGCATATTGTACTATGCGATATCTCGAAATATTTTTATTTTTTCCTAACACAGTAGTCCAACTAGGAGGGATTTCAAAGAAATATTTCCTACTAAAATCTCGAAGCAACGCGATGTGTAGCAAAAAAATAGGGTGTTAGATTTGCTATAAAGATCTAAGACTGAAAAACGAACACACAGTTCAGCAGATACATATACAGTACAGAGCACATATTAGCGCTATGCTGCTATTTAGTACGAGCGTGATCCTTCCCCAATCTATAATCGAGACAATTTATTCATGCTGCAGCACAGTACGCTGTAGCGTGACTCTGTAACGTTTATTTTAGTATCGGTTGGTAATTAATCACTTATTGCGCATTATCCAATAAAAGCTATTTACAATATATTGAACCATTCACATGGTAGGTAATTTATGAGTCCTTATATGTCTGCAGTACCTCCGCTTTCGGTGCGAATACAAGGCGGGAAGCGACCTTTAGTGGCTGGTCAAAGTACGGAATTAACATGTCAAGTAGTGGGGGCCAGGCCGAAACCTGTTATATCTTGGTGGAAAGGAGGAACCAAGTTAACTACTGTATGGGATTCCGTAAGTATAAAAAATAATTTTTTTGTTATCTATTATTTTAGGTATAAATGTGATTGTTACTGTGCAATTCACAATATTGTGCTAGTGTTTACCTGAACGTACCTATGGTAGTAAAAGTTGGGTGTGATAGAAGAGGCACAGGAGTAGAATTAATTCTGTAGTAATTCGGTCATTAGGGGGTATGTGAGGAGTGACTTTGTATGACACAGTGAGAAGTAGTGTGATGAGAGAAAAGTGTGGTTTGCAAGATGTTGTGTTTAGGATTAAGAAATAATGCTACGGCGATTTGGTCATATAGAAAGAGTGATAAAATAATATTATGTTGTAGAAGCGATTGGCCGAGTAGGCGAGGGGCGCCTAAGTTGGAAGTATACCGACCATATTGGCCAAATAATTAATAAGCTCTAACAAATGGTAGTTTCGCGTCTAAGCTCTTGCTGTAAATTTCACAGTACGCGAGCAACCTGCGTCCGTTTTCCGTCGTCACCAATTAAATTGTTAATTACAATTTTAAGTGTTACCATGTGCTCGGCGCAAAGGAAAACGTCGTAAAGAAACCTGAATGTCTGCGAAACAAGAAACAAACATTTCGAAGACATGTGAAGTTCGCCAATACGCATTGGGGCAACTCGGCGGATATTACCTTACCGTAAAACCCTTTCAAAAACTCATATACACTCATTAACAGAACTCGTATAAGCTGTAACTTTAACTTTTAACTTTAAGATAGGCCAAATAGGAGTTAAGAGCGCCTTTAACTAACGAGCATGTATACGTAGAATTAAGTACCAAGGCATTTCTAATTTGATTTGTGTTGATTAATCGGGTAACATACATGATTGTAAGCTGTTTTTTTAAGTCCCGCTGGGTTTCGATCCCAGGACAGAAGTTTTTTCCGAACCAGTGGTAATTAAAGAAAAGAGTGAATTTCAATAAGTATTATTTATAATCTAAATTGAATAAAAATGTTTCTATTCCTATTTCTGTACGTAAAAGAGGCGAGAGGATAGGTGTGTCAGGATCCTGCCAAATGAAAATATTTATAAACAATTTGTGCTATTTGTAATTTAGCATTAAACTACTTACTGCATGAACTGTTCTATATTTGTCATTTAAATTGTAATGACAGCGTATCCCAAGTCCACCGCTCGTCATTCTCCCACAAGGAATGCCACAAAACATGGTCCTGAGCCACCTGCTGCTATTGACTTCCTGCGTGTTTTTATACATTTATTTAGCAAAAGATATGACTTTATCCATGTTGACCATCTTGTTTTGTATCTTTATTGTTGTTTGAACAGCGCATGTTTAAATTCGTCAAAACGAAAAAATATTGTGAAAGATAATAATTTTTTTTTCTTTTTTTAAGTTTAAACAAAATACGAAGCTTTTTATTTTAAGATAAAACTTTGTAATTTTCTACCAATACTTTTGTAAGATAGTTTGTGCTTTATTTGGAGAAATGCCAAATGCGTAATGGGCTGGAGTTCGATTCGTGACAGTAAATGCCACAGATTCAACTACCGTCGTAAACCGCAGCTACTATAAGCCTTTAAGCTTAGTTGGAGTGGTTAACAGGATTGTGAGATATATTTGAGTATTTTCAGCTATTATAGTAATTGTTGATCATATATATTAAGTGTCTTTGAAGACTCAAAAGGCTCAGTATATAAGCGTTGTATGCTATTAAAATATTTAATATAAATTACCCATTATAGCTTATCACAAGTCTATTGTTGAACCTAGATTGAGTCGTAGGGAGGTCATTTGTATAGAACACACATTTAGCATACATGTTTACAAATTAGAATTACATATATATTATAGATACGTCGTACTCGCTGTAGAATTGGCAATACGAAAGTAAGGTAAGTTGCCACGACTCTCATTCAGTCGGGCACGCTCTCAGCGGTCACTTGCAAGAGCGTAAATCTTCGAGTTTTCGTGACAAAAATGCCTCCCTGTATTTTTTGGTGGTGCACAAATTATGCGTGTTAGAGACGAGATACACGTCTCTATATCGTTCATTACACACACACACACACACACCTGTATTGTATTTTTTTAGTTAAATAATTTGAAGTAATTTCGTTTGACTATCGTCCCTATTCTCCTCCGTATCGGTAGTAAATCACGCGCTCGCGCCAATGAACGCTTAGCAGCAATCAATGGGTAACTAATAATGTATATTTATCTTTTTCTAATGATAGGTATGTATAACTGTCATTTGTCAACAAACATCATTTGTCTCTTTTTGTTAGCACAACGTGTCCTAATAAATAAATCGTAGATATAGTACTACTTGCGCCACTTTAAAATACAATAATGTTAGTGTGCAACCTGTCTATTCTTAATACGTCTTTGTTGACAAAACAATAATTTCGTCATTATTTAACAGACTTCGATGGATAGAGATATCACCACAAGCGTTCTAACTTTTGTGCCAGCGATAGAAGACGCAGGGAGAGTTTTACCATGCAGGGCAGCTAAACCAAAAATATCGCACACTACTCGAGAAGATGGCTGGAAAATGGAGATACAGCGTAAATATCTCAACAAATTCATCACAAGATTTTTCTTATATTAATGTTTATAAGCCATTGCTTTTATTCGTTGATATACGCAAGATAGTAACTGTGTTCGACTTAACATTCAATATTTTAATTACCTGATAAAAGTTATGCATACGATAGAATACAACATTAACAAATACAAACACAAAAGTTGTACAAATAAAAAAGTTTGATTGCACTTTTATATCAAATTAGGTTATAATTGAGCTAATTTGTAACTTTTATGTGATGACTGAAAAATTATCCATTAAAAATACTATACATTTTTAGTGAAAAGTATGTTTTCTTATAAAATTAGGTCAACAAACGAGTACACAGTTCACCTGATGGGAAGTGGATGCTGTGGGCCGTAGATATTTATATCTATCATCGGTTAAGAATCAAAATGCCTTGTCACCCCTGTGGACTAAGACGGATTGCCTAGTTTTCAGTAAAAAGGGTTCAGTACCGCCTCACTTACCGTATGAAACAGAATTCAGCTGCTATTTTACCCCGGTATTCTGTGAGGGCGCGGTCCTTCCCGGGTTGAGCCGACCCATACGTGCTGTAACTATATTTAATGCAGTGAGATGCAGTGTTGCTTGTATTTTATTAAATTTACTACAACATAACACAAATCAACATCACATCACATTACAAAAACAATTAACAAATATCGTAATTTATTATATAATTCGAACAAAACATTTCGTTAATACGTGAGCAAAACCAGTACTAACGCTTTAACGCACAGTAAGAAGTCGCTAGACGGGTCTTTTTCTTTTTTTTGTGTCCTTGATTTTTCATGATAAGTTTAAGTTAATAAATATATAAATTGTTTATTAATTAAATAACGATCCCGTGACGTCACGCCCCGTCGATGTGTAATCGAACTTAAAATGGTAGTGGTTGTTTATAGTGAAACAACAAAATGAACACAATGAAGAGATAGAAATTTTCAGCGATAAGGCGTCAGGACTCATGACTTTATCGCCAGGAATAATAGAAAATTGTAAGTTAATATTTCCAAATTAAGACATATTTTCTTCTAATTACTTATATATATTTTATACGTGGTAGAGCCATGCTGCAGTTAATTAGTAGTATGGTTGCAGCACGATTGGGTCGGCTCGACCGGGTGGTGTGTGTAGAGAACCGAAGACCCTTTTTACTGGAAACGAGGCATTCCATCTTAGTCCTCACGGGTGACAACGCATCTGCATTTTGATTCGTAATCGAGGATAGATGTAGATGTCCATGGGCCACAGCAACCACTTACCATCAGGTGGACTGTGTGCTAGTTTGTCACCCTATCCTATAAAAAAATATTTCGTCATTGATTCTCTCTGGTTTTTGTTTCAACTATCGTTTAACATACGTATGTAATACGAAATACCTGTTATCTATGCTATATATAACTTTATAATCGAAAAAAAATATGTGTAATTAAAATATGTGGGTAGATAATATTACCGACAAATTGAGAATAATATTTACAGATTTACCCGTCTTTACGTTGAACTTGGGTGCGAACTTAGATGCCGATAAAGTAGTGGAAGGATCTGATATCTACTTGGATTGTAGAGTTCGTGCAAACCCTCGGTACAGCAATGTTCCCTTCACTCATAATTTAAGTATTCAAAATTCGTATTATTTATATTCATAATTACAGCCTACCAAAATCGGAAAATAGATCACCTCCGTAGCCTTAAAGCCATAATTGATAGGCGGGATGACAACCGCATTTACTAAATCTAATAGTCGATCTTAAATAAAATTTAGCAATGTTTTTTAAGTGAGACTAAAGATTATAAAATCAATGTAATCTTAATGAAGCCCTAGCATTAGTATTGAGTAGCGCACGAATTAGAAATGAGTTTGTATGAGTGGCCTCTTTTTTACACTGAACCAGTAGAATATTATCCCTTTCCAAAAGGCGTCTTAAAGACCGACGAGACATTTGAATATTGATTATGTAATAGTAGGGTTTTGTGTGATTAATGTAATACTTATGGCAAAGCATTAAAGGAGTGTTACATTTTTATGACGCGTTACAGAAGAGTCGTGGTAGCTCAGATGGTTAACGTTTGCGGTTCGATCCCCACCGGCACCAATGAAATTGTCAATTGCAATTTTAAGTGCTGATTTACCACGTGCTCGGCGGTGAAGGAAAACATCGTGAGGAAACCTGCATGTCTGAGGAATAAGGAAAAAAATATTTCGAAGACATGTGAAGTTCGCCAAGGGGCAGCGCGGCGGATACTTCGCCCTAAAACCCTCTCAGAAATGAGGGGAGGCCTGTGCCCAGCAGTGGGACGTATATAGGCTGTAACTTTACATTTTTATGTGGGTGATTTATTCGGAAATACATTATATTAGTAAAAACTAATAAAATATAAAATTAATTGTAAAGTATATTTTTAAAAATTAGATTTAATGAAACTTTAATTTCAAAGTCGACTTCAATAACTAAAAGGTATAAAATAATTTCCGCGTAATTTGAACTCGGTGCTAACACATAGTATAATGTCCTCCAGACCGAATTTCCGTCCATCAGATCCATCGTATCTGAAATGTACAAACACTTCAGCACTTCGATATACCGATAGTCAACTTGGCAACACTGAATTGACTGTAGAACTGCCCAACGACGAAACGAAATCAAAGGCTTTCTTATAGTCTACATATGCGAGGTGAAGTGGCTGATTATACTCTTCGGTCTTCTGCACAAATTGCCGAAGGTTATGTTTTTTGGTCTATGGTACTAAAGTATTTTCGGCAACCGGCTTTTTTGAAGCACTTCAATACCGGTTTTCCTACCGCTTTCTTTTTTGCTTTGTTGTAATTCTATATTCGCCGGGGATCTTGCCGTTTTTAAGGTGATGGAGAGCCATTTTAATTTCACACTGACGTCCGGG